CAGAAGTGACAAATTGACAAAAATCGCATTTCCAGGATAGTGTAATACTGGTATGCAAGGTGGTCTGGTCTGCTTTTGACGAAAAAACCATAAATGGTGTGATATTTGACAAAATTTGCCCTGAGCAACCATCTTGTGTGTTTACATCGGCGTGTGTCTCAATCACACACTTTCTAAAATTCCAATTCTTCTAACATATGGTGTTTATTGGTGTTTCTAAGGATCAAACCACCCTGTAGTAAAGTCTACCCATGAGTGCTATACCCGTGAAAACTTCATTTGTGCAATTATCGAGGCAGAAGTTAGATTGTACGAAATCCATTGTCTCTCTAGTGCATCGCATATACATATACGATTCTCGTTGATTGGTGCGCGCTTGCACACAGCTCACGGCCCGCGGAGTCTCCGCCCTTAAATTTATCCAAAACTGAAGACCTTAAAAACGAAAGTAATGATGATTCGATTGATTGTAAAGTATATTAGAAAAATAAGAATAAATAGTACAAGAAGTTTATAACATGTCAATTTATTACAAACAAAGTCAATACATTAGTATGTACAGCTACTCTGATACATTTTATATGTATTCATATATGTACATTATATATAAAGAATATGCACACGCATTCATGACTCACATTCGTATATTTATATATTATCAATACAAAAGCCTCTTCTGTATGAATTTACAGATGTAGATAATCCTATTGACTCTGAATCATTAATAAAGACTAAACACAAATAGGGTGTTAGATTATTTTCAGTTGAAGAATAGTTGCACATCCTTAAACAAGAAGCAACTGTACTTCAATTTGTTCTATCACCATGGAAAATACTGTAATTTCTAGATAACTTTCGTTCAAACTAAATTTCCTTGTAAAGCTTTGGTCAAACTTTTTCATAGGAACTTTTGGTGTCCCTTGCGCACAGAAAACATTCTTGATAACATTTATACAATATAGAATTTGCGCAGTATAAAAGAGTATGCACATATCGCATATTCTAATTCACTTGTAATACCCTCATTTACACATAACTATACAATAATCTTGTAAGATATAAAATTTCGGTAATTATACACAATAGGGGACTCCTCACCGATTCGGTTGACCTTGAAATATGTTGTCAATGTCAACATTCTAAACAACTTTTCCCTGTACACACATGTAACCGCCGCGCGGTCTTAATTTCTGAGATATTCACAAAAATATATTCGACACTGTCTACCGTGTTTTGTTTTGTATGGGTAATTATATAGAAAGAGTGCAATCTCGTGTATGACCTTGACCTTGTTGTCAATGTCATCGTCCTGAGTGACCTTGACCTTGACAAAATTGGCAATATGCAATATTTAAGAGAAGATATATATTTGAAAGAGCGATCGCAGTAGATCTGAGACTAGATTCGTTAGCATATTCACAAAAAACTTGTTAAACTTAGATTTATGATTGGTACACACCACCTAGCGTTAACCACGCACCCAACATCACACCAAACATAAGTTTAGTTATTAATATCTACAAAAACAGGAAAAAAGTTTCTTTGCCGGGCCCCATAGCACATCGGGCATGTGACTTGTGTTTGGTGTGATATTGAATACGTGATTAACACTGGATGGTGTGTGGTCGGGACCGGTTGCGGAGGTGTGCTCCGGTGTTCCCGTGATCGGCCTTCACGCCCAACAGGGTCACCGGGGGGTTTTTAGAGTGGTGAAATCCCGTACAGGTCGTATCCGCCACCAGCGGAGACCATATCGCCTTTTCAAGGTCCCCCCCCCAAAAAAAAATCAGTGGTAGGATGTTGGGTGCGTCATATAATAATTAATTAATAATTAAACACCTGAACAAAAATCATGTAATTTGGAATATATTTTCCTGAATATCTCGGAAACTAAGGCCGAGCGGTGGTACCATGTATAGGGAAAAGTTGTTCAGAATGATGACCTTGACAACATATTTCAGGGTCATCCAAATTGGTGAGGATTGGATGAGTCCTCTATAGTGAATAATTACCGTATAATCATTTAAAAAACAGTATTATCAAAGATGTTTAAAAGTTATTAAATATGTCTAAATTTTTATTTTTAAATGTTTCACTGGTATCCACAATAATAAATTAAGGTATAAATTGGTCATAAGTTGTCAAAAACTGACGAGAAAGTGAAATTGTAAAATACACATACTTACGTATTATTTATTATTATAATTTCACTTTTATTTTCTATATAAATGAATATATTCCCATTAATTTCAAAAATTTTATATGGTGTCAAAAATTGAAAGAAAATCATTAGCAGTAATATTATACCCAGTCAGCAAAACCTGCAAAAGCCAAATTTTGTCTAATGCCTGTTATAAAATTGTAGTTATAAGGTTGATGCAAGATTTGCTATAAACAACTTGCGCGCACGTTGTCGGCAACGTAGGCAGCAAATTGGTAGCAACATATGCAGCAAATTGGCTTGCCCAAACCATGTTCCGGTTTTGCCCTCAATTTGAGGTAGGTCATGTTGCAAAACTTTCTGCCAATTTGCTTTACCATTTTGTCAGTTGGCATTGCCTACAAAACTCAAGTCAAATGCAGAAACAGAAGGCTATGCTTTTTTAGACAATTTTTGTCATTTATTGCTGGCAATTTCCTCGAAACTTGTACACAATTGGTTATCAGGGTACTTATAGTGAAATAGGAAATTTAATCAGACTCAGTATTCTTTACATCCACTTCACTATTGTGGGCATTACAATTATGCAGAGAATTGTGTGAATCTGTTATATGTATTAAAGAAAAAAATTTAAAAGGTAGTATTCAATGTGTTTAATTATAGAAAATTTTGAATAGCATTCCGTTCATTTATCGATTATAAAGGCAGATATACAGTTTGATTCAAGCATTTAATATTTATGAGGACTAATTAATATTCGTCGTAGTGGAAAAAAAAATCCCAACATACATATCTTTGATCAGTCATGTATACATTTATGAAACAACTGAGTGGGTATAATAGTAAAGTAAAATTTACATACATTACTTCTCAATCAACAGACTAAAGAATTAATAAAATCGTTATTAACAAATTTGATTAATTTCTTACATGTGCAGTGGAAAAAACTTAATAGGAGTGACAGCTTTAGCACCTTGTATCAAATATCACAATTGTCATGAGTTCAAAAAACTTACAATACTTGACAATTGCAATAAAAGACAGATTTTTGAGTAATTTGAAAAGCTAAAAAGGACTATGCCAAGTTTAATAAATACTTCTCTGGAATTCTCAAAATGTTTGTCATGGAAACCCATACTTGATAATAGGAGAACATAATCTAAATAAGGAAAGCTATTTTTAAACAATGTAAGTGGACTAAATGCGTACACTTAATTCTGCTTTTACACGATAAATACATTCCCGAAAAATCCAAGTAAAAAAATATACCGTGTATATTAAAAAATTGAAAATTGTTTCCAGATCAAAGAAATCAGTAAAAACAATATGATAAATCAAATAAGAATTTTTCTCAACGGAGAGCAATTTCCTAGAAAAATAAGAAGGAATATTTTTTCTTAGAATTAAAATTGAGTGAAGATTTTAAAAAAATTAAATTTATAAAACCGTGTGAAATCAAAACAAACTGTGCAAAAAAAGAAATTAACTTTTTTCCAGACAGTGTTAAATCAAAATCGTGTAAAATCAGAATTAAGTGTAATTAACAACAGACATAAAAGGAAGTAAATCAAACAGATAATAAGCAACAAGTTTAGAAGAATAATTTATTTGGCCTCCGACCATGCTCAAATACTACCTATCAGTAAAAAAATGGCAGTCAACTGGCTCTACTTAATCTCTGTTCGAAAGGTCAGTTTAAACAATGGCACTTACATGAACACTTATTAACAGCACAATAACATAATGTAGACAAGACAGAACATAAGGGGGGATACCTCTGTAATAGGGCCAGCAGCTTTACCAACAAATATAATCTTCAAACTTTCAAAGTCACTAAGGCTGTGTTATGGCAGAGTAGATCAGAGAAATCAGAATACATGATTGTAAACAATCTCAAAACAAAATTTACAAGATTTCTATACCATAATTGCTATTTCATTTCTTATAATACATTCTATTTCCTTTGAACTTTTGTATAGGGTTTTCCATGATACATGGACATAACATGGAAAATGAATTAACTACACAAAAATAATGAAAAAAGTATATACACTTATTTGTCCCAGTTCACCTTGTTCCTAAATTATAAAGATTTTGTATTTCAACAATTTCTTTTATAAATTGAATAACATAATAGTTATTGTTCAGTTATTTAGTATCAACAATATTATTATAAAAATGTTGTAATTTATTTAGTGTAACAATTTGATCATTCTTCTATTTCTAACATTTCCTCTGATGAAGCACTCTTGTACTAAGAATTATTGAAATAAAAATGTCAGTAATTTGGGCACAGGGTCAGACGATAGACCATCTATTTATATGATCTTTTTCCATCACTTGTGTGTCCCTGATTCGTTGCTACAGTTATTACAGCTTATGGACACATGTAATAAACAAAATATAAGTTTGTACTATGCATGTACCGTACACAAAAGAATCTTCAGACATAATTATTTTGAACTGATCAAATGTCCTGGCAGTTAAATGTTTTATGTTTAATGTCTGTTTATCTTAAGTAGTAAAATAGATAATTCAATATGTTCCATGGTAAAAGAATTACAAAACTTCAAATTCATCATTTTTTGTGAATTATACAAATGTTTATTTATATTTTCATTAACTGAGTATGAATGGATACTTGTTATTTTAAGTATTGTCACTTTAGAATTAACTTAATTTTTACAGCTACTTAATTTATAAGACTTTAAAGACAATAATGAAACTAATAACTTTATTGCTTGAATAGGCATAACATCCATTTGGCAGATACATGCACATTTCAAAAAATAAGAAGGAAACAAGTATTTGGTTTAACATTGGTATTTGTCAAAATGTATCATCTCTGATATGAAAGAATAGTAGTAGCCCAAAGAAGACGCTGCCAAATCCATCGTGGAACTCTGCATGGTCCAAGACTAGCCATTGCACTAGCTATGTGACGCAACCAATCCCAAATGCCCCATGGTGCATGTCCTCCATTTACATAAAGGACATATGTAAAGCCGTCTTTGCATTTACCGCGAATTGAATAATAATATGGTAAGAAACTATGTAATCGAAAATGACATCTCTGGTAAAATAAAATCGCAGGTGAATTGCTAGATAAAACATGTAGGAAGACTGCTTTCACAGAAGAACGTTCTGGAGCAGTAACATGTGCAAGTAATTGTTCCAACAATAATGAAGCAATTCCATTTCTTCTGTATGCACGACGCACCCCTAAACTAAGAATGTAACCTACTAGACAATCTTTTCCTAAACTTGAACACAAAATACCACGATCCTCTGTGTTAAGTTTGGCATAAGGCTTTATCTCCGCAACAATAAGTCCAATAATAACTCCACCATACACAGCTGCAAGGGCATAAAACCGTGAGGAACTTGTTATATCTTCATACCATGAATAAGGGTAATCTATGACAAAATAAGTCAATACTAGTATTAAAGATACACAATTTATATAAATAGAAGATAACTACATGCATAACAAATTCTATATTTATTCTTACAATTTTAGTTGTTAATCCTTTGTGGTCTAATTTGTTATTCAGAAGAAACTTATGAATTGTATAAAGATTTTACTCTTATTTGTAGCAGTTTTTTAATATCTAATTAATATACAACAAAATATTTATTGCAACACATCATAAATACTTGTTTTCTCAAAAAGTACAACACTGTTATTTTTAATTGTTTCAGGACTAAATATACTGTAATTTTAACTAAATTTACTGTAATTTAAATGGCATCAAGGAGCACATCTTATAAAGTACATGCTTTTTTGTGGGTGGAGGTTTTTCTGAGATTTCAAGGTCACCTTGATTTTTTTTAATGGAAAGACTTATTTTTTGTACCATAGATCGATAGAGTATCAAATTCTAGGTAAAAATGTGTTGACATTCGTATGTCCTAAACCTAATAGTTAACAAGATATTTACAGAATAATCACTTCATTGAAATCGCTGTATTGAAGTTGAGAGACATCAGTTTGAGCACTTATAACTTCCAGATAGTAAGTATGTATTAAAAATTATGTTATAAATATCTCATTAACTATTAGGTTTACGACGTGTGAAGGTCAACACATTTTTACTCGCAATTTGATACTTCATGGATGTATGGTACAAAAAATAGGTCATTCCGTTAAAAAAAAACAAGGTGACCTTGAAATCTCTGAAATTCCTCCATCCACAAAAAAAGCATGTATCTTATAAGATGTGCCACTTGATACCATTTACGTTACACGCCTCAAAATTTTTATAAAGTGTACCGTTAAGTCATTATTCAAGGTGATCAAGTTAGCTGAGACACCCTGAATAATTACATTTTAATAACAACTGTACAATAGATAGATTTCAAGTTATACATTTGTTTGCATCTTTTATGTGTTCAATACATAAATATGTAATGGTCCATATTAATTTACTCAATTACAGATAATTACTTATTTGTTATAACTTATTAATTATTATGTTAAAACTAAAATATAAATTTACCATTTTTATACTTATCTCATAAAATTACATTTTTTAAGGACAGGTAATTTCAGAAAAAATATATGTCTAAAAATATTAGTCATTATTTTTTACTGATTTTGGAAAATAAAACTTAAAGTGTAATGTGACGTAACATAACTGACATATAAATAAAACATTATACATGTAAATTCAGTCAATGACTGTCCAAAGTATAATTAGTTAGTGATTACAAGTTTCAAAATAAAAATAGTACTTGTTTTATGCTTTGTATTGCTAACATATTAATATTATCCATTCCTTTCGCCCATGAATAACTGCTATTTTTTATCAGGATTGATTTCATTGTACATTGAAATTCAAATATTTGTAATATCTTTATTATTTAATACAAAGAATGTTAAAATGAAATATAGAATTAACGAAGTCTTATATTAATGAACTTCAATTGTAGTGACCATAAAACCAAAAAGGATTCATTACATAAAAAGAGATATATAACTGATATTGTATGTGGTAAAACATTGTAAGATTGAAATAAGTTTATGAGAATCTCATACCAATAGGGAACCAATCTTGACAAAGTGCCCGTACTTCCTCCAAGTCGTCTGGGCAGAGGAAACGCAACTGAACATCACCCAGGACACATAAGGGAACAGTTGCCGGTGTCACGGAGGTTTTTTGTTCATTAGGCAAGTTTCTCGTAATATCATCCGTATATTTATGTTTATTTTCTTGAGATATTCTAAATTCACTTTTCTCAATTTCCGGTAAAATAAGATATCGATTAAAAGATACGGCCATCACGCCTCACTTTTTTAATCATTTCATTAATCATTTCTTTAGCAATGTCAAGCATCTCTCGTTGTATATAAACTTTTGCTAGTAAACATGGTAAACATATCGAGATCAGTAGACATTTTGTTTCTATCCCTCCTCCACTCTTCACCGAATGACTCTATTTCTCATTCTATCACAGCCGACTTGAGCCGACTGAGCCGACTCTGGTGTCTATGTAGCACTGATGCCAGAACCGTGGGATAACCGCGCGAGCGCTTACCCTCTCCATACCTCCCGTGGGTATTTTACCCAAGCATATCTAGCCTGTCCGTGAGCTGTGCCCCACTACGTCCTACTCGGCGATTCCCCAACACAATCGTTTTCTATCACTATCCGTGTGCGATCTGTTTCGGGTGTTTTTGGCAAAAGTCCTACGTTACACGTTTACGACGTGACGGCCGAGTTGCCCAAACCTGCTCAAAAATCCCAAATCCCAAGCAACCAAAAGTTTACATCCTAAACGCCGAGAGCTGCATGATCTCTCTCACGCGCTCATGATGAAGACGCCGTCCAAAACCCCGTTCGAATCCCGATTTGACGGTTTTACTTTTTATTTTTAATTATTGTATAATTTCATTTTGTAATATGTCAGTAAAATAAAAAATGGGAGATGTATTTATTCCTGTTTACACAAGTTATTCTTACAACTAGATGTTACCTTTATTCTAACAATTGCAGTACATACATATGAAAACATTGGAAGAAAAATCCATTACATTAATATGTTACGTACAGTAAAATGAAAGCTTGGAAGATATTAATTTGAAAAGCATTTTCAAAATTAAATTTTTTTGTAAAGCTGGTCCACGCACATGCATTTATTTAGATTTGATGTTGGTGAGCATGGATAATATCAGAGAGGAAATGAGAGTGCTAACGCCCGGGATTTCGGTGTTCCCGGGCAAGTGCTGCCCCCTTGGTCCACATAAGCATGGACAAGAACCCCTGGTCCACATTAGCATATATCAGAACCACAAAATTTCGCGTCAACAGAGTCCTCTAGCATTCCGTGTCACAATCTCTCGTATCAATTGAAATTGATTTTACGTCACAGCGCTATGGGCGATGGAAATTAAAATAAGAAGTACTGATACTGATACGCATTTATTTTGAGTAATGAAAAAAGTTTCATTCATCGTTACCTTATCTGTTTATGTATATACTCAGTTGGATTGTATTGTTTATGTATGTATGTATATATTGCACTGTTTGTACATGTATATATAATATTTCAATGTGGCTTAGAACATCGAATGAGTGTATGGAGTGATTTGAAAAATCAGAAGGGTAATAATAGTTTTGCGGATGTGTAATAAAGACCAGGTTACTTAAATTTTGATTGTATTGTGTCACTTTTTAATTGTTGAGATGAATTTGTTTCTGTACAATTCTATTATCGTCTTCAAGTTATACGTTATATGTATTTTAATAATTACTTATTTCAGGTATGAATCAAATATTTTAGTGTGAACATATTTTCTAGATTTTGAAGTTTAAGGTTTTTTATTTATAAGCAAAGGAAATATGAAATAAATAAGAAAGGAAAAAATATGAAAAATCACCAAATTTATCGGAACTGAAATACGCGACCTTAAGCGAATATGTACCGTTAAGGCCGTTAAGGCGACATTTGTATCAATAGGTTTCCATATCACCCATGAGGTACTATTGTCAATACGTTTTTTTTGTCAGTGGTATCTCCTGTAGACTGTAGGCCTATTCCACTGTGTTGCGTCCTACTGTATTTCCCTGGTATTGTTTTCTCAAAATTGTGTTACGTATAGTATATTCACCGGGGTTATTTGGCTCCTCCTCCTCGCCCTCCTTTTCCTTAGTTTGTTTGCTGTTATTATTATTTTCATTGTTTGCAATTTCACTAAATGACTCCATCCTGTTTTCATTATATTCCTCTTCTCGTCTCGTTACCTTTTGTCTTTTGTTTGCTTCTTCAATTCCTAATATATTCTTGGATGGCTCAGGTACGGAATTCTTCCTCAACATTTTCCTTCTATTTATGTTAAGTGTGGGGTTTGTTTTAAACATTTCGGGCGACAAATGTTCACCACATACGCCCATTCTTCTTATATAACTACTGGAGTGATATTTTAAACTGTGATTACCTGTTAACAAAATAAAAAGGTTTTGCATACTAAGCTTTCGGTTATATTTATTAAATTCGGTTATAATTATCCAATAATATTTAATTTAAAATGGATAGTGAGCAGAATCTATGTCTTTCAATATTGGCGGATCAAAAGCTCTGACAACTTTTTTCAAAAGCGTGGCAACAGGACACCACCGTGTTGGTTTCTCGGAAACCATACGCATGCAGTAGCAATTTGTAAACATCACCGGCCTTGCCTGGCGGTCGCTCACCGACTACGCCACCAAAACTGCACATTTTTCAAATTGAAAGAACAAAACTTGTTTTATACGACTTACATTTGTAGGTCCCATGTATATTTAACATAATTATAATATTAAGATATATAATCTCTTATAATCGAAGACTTAGAATTGTAAGAGTTCGTAGGAAGTTATCTCCAGGGATTGCAATTAACGGATTTTCGCTTCTTTTGTACACCAGACTTAATTTCCTTGCTTTACACTTGTAGGCAGTTCGACTCTCATTGAGTGCGAGCCTTCCAAAACATTCATTTATACCTTTGTATTTCTTCGTTTTTATGTCGCGTGTTCTGTGTCGCGCGCTTGGTGTCGCGGGTCAGTGCCCAGTAATGTAACCATGTATATTCACTTTTATATTTTATATCATTATGCTACGTTAGGATAGATTTTAAGCCAGTTTTTACACTCTAAACCACCGGTCCTTGAAACCGTCTCCTCTCACCCGCTGAGAAAACTTTTCCTTCTTCACCCCATGAAATACGGTTTGTCTTGAGGGAAAAGCCAATGAAATTTGGGTTTTTCCCACTCCAGAAATGCGTTCATGAGGCAATTCCGACTCCTTTAAGTTAGACATATTCTGGCAGCCGAGCATAGAACATAAATAAAGTTTCTGTTAAATTATCGTGTCAATTCCATTACAGCCCTAATCAGCTGTTACTGATTTCGTTCGCGTTCGGCAATTACACTGTTCAACAAATTTGAACTTTTTTTCGTTGTTGTAATTTCTAATAAGCGTTTCTGGTAGATCTTCATGAGCTGAATACAAATCTGCAAACCGTTTCTTTACAGCACGTCGAGTTTGTGAAAAAATCAATTTTTAAAAAAATTGTAAATTTTCAACTTTGGAACTTATTTAAATATATTTCAATAATGTTTAAAGTGAAAAGGACACCGGATTTTATTAATCCAAAAATAATTAAAAAGAATTACTTTTTGCATGTACTTACAATGAAATGTAAAAATATTTTTATTTAAATCTGTACTTTTAGTGCATTATTTACATTTCGTTCTACATAAAAGCATAACTGTTTCACGTGTAGAGAGCACATGACTGTTTAAGCGCGAAACAGTTATGTTCTTACGTGGGGCGAAGTGTAAAAAATTAGATCAATTTTTATCCATACGTAAGCTTATGTGATACCAGGCTCCCATAGGCCAACGCGAAATATTCGTAGCGATAATTTTTTTATTATATAATTGTTTGCGGAAATTTATCACATTGGTATGAACAGTCTCATAAAACGCTATGTATTTTTAACTGTTGCTAATCTATCGCCGCGAAATATTTGCTGCCGCTGCGAATATTTCGCGTTGGTTTGTAGGAGCCTTTATACTGACAAAATCAGTACGAATGGCCGTTTTAAGATTTACTCCCGACAGTAGTAACAATGTTTTTCATCTTCCTTTACTTACCGGTTTTTGAAATCCATTCTTCACAAAGAGGACTTTCTATTTTTGGAAATGCATACAAAACATGTCCTAGCTGCCGGCTGTTGTTGCAGTCCTTGTAAGCGCAAACATCCTTACGCCGCGTTGTATTTATCTTCCTTTGTGTAGACATGTTCACAAAACCTGAAATATACCACAAAAAATACACAAACACGCGAAAATTACGAAGCAAATCAACAAACAAGTACTACAAATGCAATCAATAATTAAAGAATCACCAAATTTTCCTAAACGCTAAATCAGTGGCGTGTATATGGGCTTTTGATTTAAAATTCAATCGCCCATAGCGCTATGATGTAAAACCAATTTCAATTCATACGATAGATTGTGACACGGAATGGTAGAGGGCTCTGCTGACGCGAAATTTTGTGGTTCTGATATATGCTAACGTGGACCAGGGGTTCTTGTCCATGGTAATGTGAACCAGGGGTTCTTGTCCATGCTAATATGGACCCGGGGGGCAGCACTTGCCCGGGAACACCGAAATCCCGGGCGTTAGCACTCTTATTTCCTCTCTGGTAAAAGCGAGAGGCCTGGGAGGCTGATATGGTTCTACCAGCCCTCTGCCCGAGGGTCACCGGGGGGTTCTGAGTCTGGTGAAATCCCGCATTGGCCGTTTCCGCCCCCAGTGGAGGCGGTGCACCTTTTCAAGGTTTTTCCCCCGTAAAAAAAAACAGAAAAAAAGATATATTTAAGCCGGAACTTTAACTCTCACGTTGTTGCCATTTTTACCTTCAGCACGGCTAGTACTAGCACCGACGAGGTATAGGATAGACCTATCATCTTATGGGACTTCGTGTCTCATGTTCTGCAATACCGATAGTGTAAAAAGTCAGGGATTTTCTGCTGCCCTCTACGTTATGAGAACGGTGAATTTGTGAACTACGTTAAATAAATTCGAGCTCAACTAGTCTAACTTCTACAATGTTGTCGAGTCTAAAGTACAATGTTGTCAGA